TAAAGTTAAGTTGATTGATCTGTGAACATAATATCTGGATTTAAAATGGTGTTATACTGGTCTACAAAGCAGTATATTGTACTTTGTGGTACACAACTACAGATACGGACTTAAATCTGGTCAGACAGGCATCCTTGTCTTTCCTACCCCTAACAAGCAGAGACTCTCATACATATTTGTGTATGGATCCTTAACAGAGTTCTTGAAGTTCAGGAGGAGTCCAGACAGCTCACTCAAAGTGTTCTTGTCTCACAGGTGGCATTGAGAGGGAATTGTCTAGAAGCACTTTCAGGAGAGGCAGGGAATTTGGAGAGAGAGATGGTATCCATGGCAATAATGTGGGATCTGGCCAGTCAGTGACTGGCTGTGGAAGATACCAGGTCTTCAAACTCCTATGGCTGTCTTAATAAGCAGAAGATATTGGTCAACTGGATTATAGAAGGGAGGGGAGATCTTTTAGGGGAATAGAAGGCAAGGGCTGGTAAGAAGTAAAGGCTACTGGAGTCCAGAGATGTTGGTTGCCAGTGGGAGTGCAAGAGGGATCCTGGGCTTTCTGGTGGCCTAGGGGCAGGAAGGCAGTCGGATGGATGCAGGTTTATCGGGTGTGCTTCCAGCTGGAGAGTGCAGAGTAAACATGAGGGTACGGACCCTGAGAGCTGGCAAAAAGTATTCTTCCACTCTCCTCTCTGGTGGTGTCTTTTCTTCTCCATCTTTCCCTATTTCTTTTAATGCCTTTTTAATTTAGTCTTCTTCTCTCAGATTCTCTCAGGAGGCAATATGATAGAATCACTAAGCACTGTTCAGGTAGGGCTCTTGACCACTTACAGGTATGAGACTGTGCCAGATTCCTTACCTTTTTGAGCCTGGGTTTTCTATCCTATGAAAAGGGGGTACTAGAAGTACCTTTCTCACTGGGTTGGGAAGATGGACTAAAACAACGTATACTAGAGCAACTTGTCACAAAGTAAATGCTAAGGGGTCTATCTGGCTGCCTCTTTCTTGTCTGCCTACCTTGTTCTTTTCCAGAGGTCTTGGTTTTTATTCATTTTTTTTTCTTTGTTCTAGAGTACTTTCTCTCAACCAGGTGTAATGTGATATTTTTGTTGTTTTTGTTAAAAAAAAAAAAAAGGTTTATGTCCTCTATTTTTAGTGTACAAAGTGGGTGAGTGAAATGTCTCCCATTTCTGTCAGTGCAGTAGATTACCGAAATGACAGAAGCACTTCATTTCTGTCCCCTCTAATAGCAGCTCCAAGACCTTGAGTGATTACTTTAATTCCTTTGGGCCTCACGGTCCTTATAAATGTAGGGGCCTGAATGAAGAGGACTGTGAGGCCCTGGTCTAACTGTGAGTGCATCTAGGAGATGATGCTAAAAGTCCGATTCCTCACTAAATTGTGCATGCCATGAAGAAAGGACCGTGGCTGTTGGGCATACTACCCTGTCCCCAGCATCTCTAGGATGCCTGGCCCATAGAAGATGCTCAGTGAGGGGGGGAATGGATCAATGAATGAATGTTATCTTTATAACAACAAAGGTCGTCTATATTCAGTGGGGATTATTGTCAGGGCACCATTATTGTCATGGGCGATTTTCTATAACTCTGAGCTTAAAACTTAATTCTCCCTCTACCCTTCCCCCCTGCTTGTGCTCTCTCTCGCTCTCTCATAAGTAAACAAAATCTTTAAAAAAAATTCTAATTGTAGAAAATATTTATCAACTTACATAGTCAACTTTCTTGGCATTTCTTTTCCAACTTTCTTAGCAGTTCATGACCTTTTTTCTTTCCAATCCGTTGCCACGCTTTGTACTCCTAGGTCTCTGTCATCGTTTAGGAAGTTGCCTGTGCGAAGTTAAATACTCTATTTTTGAAAGCACAGTGTATAATTACACAACATCATAGCACCATCTGCAAGGTGCTGTGCCATATTCTGTATTTCTCAAGGCAGCATCACATATCTCATTTTACAAAGGAGGGAACAGACTGAAAGCAAGGACATTCCTTGGGCTTCTAAGTTCCTGCTTTAAATACACCACTATTTCTGACTAATGTATGCCATAATTAGGTTCCTTCACACATCCTCTGGCCCAGCGGTCCCTTTGGAGAGCTGAGCCTCCTTCCTTACCACTCCAAGGGCCCCTAATGGTTTTCTTGTCACTGATCTGTGAAACTTTCAATTCTTGCTCTGGCCGTGTTCCACTTTCTTCTCTCTCTTTCGAATGGCTCATTCCTGGGGAAAAAATATTTATGACTAACAGTGCCTCGCCTTGTAGGGTAGATGCGGTCCCAGCCTTCAAGGTTAAGAATTACTTGGAAACATAATCCACTCAGTCACTCATTGTCTTAGTCCATTCGGGCTGCTATAACAAAATACCACAGACAGCGTAACATATAAACAACAGACATTTATTTTTAAAGTTCTGGAGGCTGGAAGTTTGAGATTAGGGTGCCAGTATGGTCGGGTAAAGGCTCCCTTCTCGTTTTGTCCTCATATAGCTCTGCGCTCATGACCTAATCACTTCCCAAAGCCCCCCACTCCTAATACCATCACATTGGGGATTAGGATTTCAACATATGAATTTTGGGGGGACACAAACATTCAGACCATAGCACTCACCAGATATTTCTTGAACTCCTCCTTTGGGTGGAGAACATAAGATTCCAGGTATAAGACAGTTTGGGGGTGATAGAAGATACCATTTACTTTAGAGGCAAAATGATAGGACACACACTAAGAGTACTGTGTAGATCTAAAGAAAGCAGGACATCAGACTCAGCGGTCAGTTTAGATCTTCTTTCAAAATGGGTATATGCTGTTCCTAAAGCCATTAGAAAAATGTTTCTTTCTGGACAACTTTGGCTTACCCTCTGGTGTTAGAACTGGTAACTTTTTCAATAATCCTGTGAAAATGTCAATACATTTCCAAAACCTGAAATAAGAAAATTGAGTGATACCATAATTGTTTACTTTCTACATGTAGGTAAAGTCATGATTATAAGGGATTTTCTTTAGATAAAGAAGAGTAGACTTTTCAAGGACATGTAACTTTTGTTTACACTGGGGCATCATCAGCCTTTCCTCATGATTTTCCCAAAACTTTTATGGCAGAAGGCTAATGAGAGGAAAGGCAATGACAAAGGGATCGTGCTGAGAACCACCAGAATATCCACTTCATTGGAGAAGTGCTTTTCTGTGTCAAGTTGTCTGACTCTGCCTTTTCATTTACTAACAATATTCTAACAGCAACAAGCCCAGCCATTTTCTGTGTCTGAATGTCTGAAAACATTTGATAACAATTGAGGGTTGGCTGCCATGATGTCACCATCAAAAAATCACAAGAGAGACTCTAATGACTTCTAAATAAAATCTTCCAGCTCTGAACTTATTCCATTTATTTAGGAAAAGCAGTTGGCATTATGTGGGAAAGGAACTATAAAAACCTAGCTTTTCCAGTCGGTCACTGACAGGACTTTGCTTTATAAACTTGTCATCTGTGATAGAGTCATCTGTTGCATTTGTTCACTTCTGAGACCCGAACTTGGGGTTGGAGGTGGTACCTGAGCAAAGCAGTTGTCCAGAAGATTGTTCAGTCTTCTCAGCAGAAAGTAGATGGTCGTTTCGCTCATTCTGCCTAGTATAGTCACTAAGAATGAACTACGCTCCTGAAAGTGTTCTAGGAGTAAGCATTGAGTCAGACCGAAATTTTAGTGGGGCACCAGGGCACTGATTGTGGTTAGCTATCTAATGAGACCTTTGATAGAGTGGAGAGTTGCTGGCACAAAACTTAACTTGTCTCTCCCCCACCCTTCATGAGAGCTGGGCAGAGAACAACAATCTTAACTCATAAGTAGTAGACAGCCCCCATGGTGTAGCATCTTTTAGAGTTTGTCCTACTTTGGGTAAAATGCCCTCTCTAAAATGAGTCAGCTCCTAGATAAGACAGAAAAGGCAAACCTGGCTTTATTTTGTTTCATTTCGCTACCGTGTAAGTCACCTTGATTTGAAAAACTTTGCCCTCTCAGAACCACATATGGAATATTCACTTGATTTCCAAACGTTATGCAAGAGCTCTGTGTACTATTTCATCAGTTTTAGAGAAGTAATTGGCACTTCTCTGAAAAGATTGGTTATGAAAACCTGCCCTTCGTGGGGCAGGAAAGGCACAAAGCAGACATAAGCTCAAAGGTTTCCAGGACTTGTCCTTACGCAGTTTGCCTAAGCTAGGTTGTGGTTTGGTCCATTGTTGTATTTATTCCTTTGCTCTTAAATTTTTTGAAATGCCTTAAAGTTAAGTATTTCTTACTCAGAGCTGATATTTAGAGCTGCTTGAGAAAGGACTTTTAAAAAAGTCCTTTATTTAATTTATATGCCGCTGAATAAGAAATGTATTTACCAGAGCAGTTTCAAGCCTTTGACAAGTTAATGTGTAATGTCTACCAATGTATCTCTGGGCTGTTTTGTCCCTTTTGGAAAAAAAATTCTTCATATCTGCAACCCTTGGTATTCTATCGCACCTGCATTTTTCTTGACGAACCATCACCTGCAGGAATTTTGAGGAAGGAGACCCAACACGAAAGCAATGGGGAAAAAAAACATGGCTAATTAAAAGTGTCAGATGATGACTTCCGACATTGAAAGAACTTTTCATTGGTTTTAGATGGAAGGCTCTGTGTTTCAGTGTTTGGCTTTCTTGGGCATGTGACTCGGCATGACTTCAAGAGCCATCCACTAGTGACAGGGGTTGCAGAAGAAAAGCATTTTGCTCCCTGTTAATCGGCTCTTCTCTCTCTCTCTCTCTCTCTCTCTCTCTCTCTCTCTCTCTCTCTCT